TCCTTGCCTCCGAGAAGCACCTTGGTTTCACCCTCCCTAGGACAAAACTATTAGTTCTCTTGGCAGTCCATGATATGTTCAATACTCTTCTCTAATATGACACCTCAAAGGCATCAATTTTTTTTCTGTCATCTTTAGTCCTTGTCCAGCTCTTTGATGTCTACTAAGTGATTGTAAAGATTTGCAAAATTCTGCCCCTCTTGCTCGCCATGAATTCCTTCTCATTTGTGGTTTGGGCTTTTGGGGTTTGTTTTTTTTTGCATAGTCTCTTTCAAACCATGAATTTTATTAAATTAGTTTATAATTTTATATACTTTTATAGATTGAAAACCAGATTTCAGTTTCTGTTGATCTATGAATATTGATATGCTTATCTTTAATGAGTCATTTACTTTGTTCTCTAGCCTCCAGGGCCCTATAGACCACTCCCTCCTATGGGTAAACCACCACCTTCAATCATGAGACCATCTCCACCACCAGCAAGATCATCTGTTCCCATGAACAGGCCGCCTGTCCCATTACCACCACCACCACATCCACCTCCTCCTCCTCCTGCTCTTCCACCTCCTCCAGTGCTAAAGGCACAGACTTCTGGTGTGGAACAGGAGCGCTGGGATGAAGATTCATTTTATGGACTCTGGGATACAAATGATGATCAAGGACTGAATTCAGAATTTAAGTCAGAAAATGCAGCAATTCCATCTGGTCCAGTGTTACCTCTTCCACCTGTTCACGCTTCCATTCCACCTCCTGGCCCAATGCCACCAATGGGCATGCCACCAATGTCCAAACCCCCGCCTGTGCAGCAGACTGTTGATTATGGCCATGGCCGAGGTGAGTGATAGCCATGAACTTGTATTTAGAACTCTTAGAGGAACTTCTAGTCTTTCGTTTGACTTCCTTCAGCTGCATTCTTACAGTATCTTATCTTTCATTTTCTTTACTAGATATACCCACTAATAAAGTTGAACAGATACCTTATGGAGAAAGAATTACTCTGCGCCCAGATCCAGTACCTGAAAGGTCAACTTTTGAGACAGGTAGGAGTCACAGAGAGATCAGTATTTTCAAACCTTTAATGACCCCATTATCACATATTTTTCCATCTGGTTAATTACCTGGACTTCCCTTTGATAGAACGAAAAGATTTTTAAACTAAATTTAGGTCAGTGGTTTATACTAGCTCTAAAATCAAAGTTACACTTTTCTGCTTTTATGTAACTAGAAAGGACATAAGTCTTATTTTGTATCACTTGTTTTTGTAGAGCATACAGGCCAGCGTGATCGTTACGATAGAGACAGAGACCGGGAACCTTATTTTGACCGTCAAAGTAATGTCATGGCAGAACATCGAGATTTTAAAAGAGATCGGGAAACACACAGGGACCGAGACCGGGATCGTGGAGGTCCTGATTATGACCGAGACCGCTTTGACAGAGACCGCCGACCTCGAGATGACCGG